ATTTTTTGCATTCTTCTTTGACTAGTCTTGATTTTAGCCTTCCTTCATCCCATGTAACAACAGCCGTCCAAACTTGTCTGAGCGAAAGGGCAGTCACCCCAAGTGCCCTCTCAGATTTACTCTGTCACTAAGGGCTGCAGAGTAACACTCAGGACATTTGCGTGCTGCATACTGCGGCCATATACCCTGCACAACTGCGGGGGAATTTTTATTTCTAGATCGTTCCTGGCTATTGCATTTCTGTTCCTTGCTATTTCTACGTAATTTTTTAATTGAAAAAACTACTTTCTTGTCCTGGTTTTGACTGGGACAGAGTTAGTTGTTCTTTCTATCAGCTAGAAGAGCTCCATGTTTTGGTTGTAGTCTGGGATTCACTATGAGAAGAATGCTGATAGTGCACTGATGTTTATAGTTGGTGCTGAGACAGCCAGGGCCTTTCATCTTGCCCTGTTTTCGCCAGTGTGCAGGAGCACAACAGGCTGGAGGGGTAGCACAGCCAGGACAAAGGGCCCACAACTCCCTTTGTGATTTGAACTTAGACTTAGGATTGAGGGCCAAATTGGCCAATGGAGCATTTCACGTCACGCAACGTCATGCCCAGTATATAGATGGGGCCTTTTGCTCTTCCAGGAACTCTCTTCTGAGGGCTCTCTCAGACTCTCAGAGTGCTATCTCTCTTTCTCGCTCTCTTTTTGGGCCTCTCGTTCATCTGAGATTGCAGTGTTGGGACTTACCTGTTTTGGGATTGTTTGCCAGCACAGGACAGGCCTTGGTCACCAGATGGTGAGCAATTACACTGTGCATCACTTGTTTGTATATATTATTATCATTACATGGACACATATATATATTCATATATTATTATTATTATTATCATTGTTACTTTTAATTTTATATTATTGTTGTTATTATTAAATTGTTCTTAACTCACAAGTCTCCTTCCCTTTTCTCCTTTAATTCTCTTCCCCATTCCCCAGGGGTGGGTGAGGCTGAATGAGCAGCTTCACGGCGTTTAGTTGCCAGCTGGGCTAAACCACCACGTTTCTTTATGTTGCTGTGCAGGAAATAAGAATCTTCTAATACCAAGCAGAACTGATCTTAGTATCTGATACATTGGGTTGTACTCGAGACAAACCCTGAAGATCACTCAGAATCTATTGCTGGCATTAAACGTAGCTACAGGCTCGCTGGACGAGAAGGATGGTTATCAGGCAGGAGACTATTACACCAACTCTCTGAGGCTGTACTGGCTTCTTATTTGCTTCCAGATGCAGGTTGGAGGGCTGATGTTGACTGATAAAGCCCCATTTGATGTGGGTCCTGCCTGAGCATGGTCTGTCTGCCTGGTGGTGCAGACCAGTGGAGTACTCTCACAAACAGCCTCCAGATCTGAGTGACTGAGATCCTTCTTGTTGGAGGCTTCCCATGACTGGATTGAGCATCCTCCACTGACGTGCCGTAACCTGAGTCTGTAGACGGTCAGTGCACCACACAGGGCCCACACGTTTAACTCAACCTTTTTTGAGTGTAATTTTGGGGTATGGCAAGGAGAGAGCACCTTTATCAAAGCGTTTATATTTGGTCAGGTAGTAGTCTAATGTTTTCCAGGATTGTATAAGCAAATGTTTGCCTAATATTTCATTTGACTAAAACAGAAAGCTGAACAGCTTGGTGATAAAATTTTAGCCAGACTGTTCAAAATTATTTGGTTTTCCAAAGAAAAAAAAGCATTTTACTGTAAAATAAACACAAGGGGGAAAAGGTAATTTTATTAACTGTTCAAGGTTTTAGCCTGTTCATTCAAAGTATTAGTGCAGATAGGACATTCTTCAAAGTTTTCCAGCATGCTCAAGGAAGACCTAATCTGCTGAAATCTTCAATGACTGCTTCCTAGACATAGTTCAGGATCAGTACTCCTTCCTCCTCCTTCTTGAGCTGGTAGCTGTTTCTGATATGATTCTGCTTCCTTGGAAATCCTGTTCCCCTTGGCTTCCCGACTCAGACTGCCCCCCATGCTTTTTCTGCCTCTGCAAGTACTACATGAGCGCACCTTATGGAATATCCTTCCTATTCCTCCCTTCAGGCTTCTGTGAGCATCCCTCATGCTCTGCTCTTTCTCTTCTCCCTCTTATCTGTATGGAATCTTATCTGCAAAAATTATTCAACTAATAAGTCATCATGACTGTTTCTTGGATCTGCTTATCCTCTCTAGACCACTGCTCTCCTGTCCAAATGAATACCTCAGCCTGTTTCTCTGACACTTCTTTACTGGTGCTGACCCTTCAGCTCAAGATCAATACAGCAAGAATTAAAGTCTTAATAATTTCTCCCTGAGTGCTCACTCCATATTATTTGCTCAATAACGGTGGACCGCACCATCATCTTTCCTGTCCTTCAAGTTCATGATTAAGATATCATTTTCGTCTGCGGACACTTTCTTTTGAGCTATATTTAAATCTTGTAGATTTTTCTCCTGTAGAATATCTAAAAGCTTTCCCCATCCATCTACAAAGTCTGGACTCATCCTGATTCTCAGCATCTCAGTCACTGCAGTGCATCACTGCCTGGTTTTCTCTCTGGTCCATAATGTAAACTTGCCATACGCGTCTCAAAATGCCTCAAAGATCCCTTTCTCTGCCCAGCATTTTAACCTTAAAGCTTTCTCTTGAACTCTTACTGCCTCTTCCTTCTGTCCCCTTTCTTTGTTTATTAACTCAATGAAGCGTAAGCTGCTTCTGCTCCCGTGGCAGGTAGGTCATAGCCTGTCTCTCCCCCCATGTTGAAAATGTTGACTTCCAGTTTTAGCAATTAACGATGTGAGTCTCTTTCATTTGCCTGCTCAACTCAAAGAAGCACCTTTGTGCTGTTTCCCAAGTTGCCTCTCGTGCTTATGAGGGGCTCCTAGAAAACACTCCCAGAGTTACTCTTGTCTGGCTTTGTATCACTCTGAAGTTTTCCGCTTTGATGTAGTGCCCACAAAAGGGTGTCAAAGTGCAGTGCCAAGACCACTGCCTGGCACACAGGCTCTCCTGGCTCCTTTGTACTCCCTTTTCTGCTTGTATTCACCAGTCGTTTCTTGCCAGCCTCTTTCGGGTGAACATGACTAGGGCCCCTACGCCCTAAGATAAAACAGAACAATTACTACCGATGCTTATTGCAAATCCCACAAAGGTTGTGGTTCTCCTCCCCTTCAGTCCTCCCAAACTTTGCTCTCTAAAACAAAGGTGAGATAAATATGCTCATCTGCTCAGAAGTCATGGTAATCTAGTGCTCATTACTGATCATGGGATAAAGTCAGAGGAGGCAGAGATTATGCGTTCCTATCCCCTATGAGAGTAAACCAATGATATTCATTACGAATTAATGAAGTAGAAACCTAAAGTTGGAAAATACTTATGAAAAGTCTTCTCTGTGTGTTATCCTTACCAGTACATTTGAACACGAGACCACACGCGGTAGGTGGACGGGTAAAGAACAGAAGGCAGTTGACTCACCCAAGGTTCCCCTGTGTGCCCTTAACTACTGTTGCAGTAATTTGTTTTTCTACTTCATAGTTCCATCTCCTCCTGATTGTTTGATGTCATAAAAATCCAGCAACTGTGGCAGTTTGCACAATGCATGTTATAGCCTTGTGTTCGTGTACCACAAATTCAGCATTCTGGATTCATTCATGACTCAGATTGGAGGAGAAAATAGCTTGGGATGGCATAAGCCCTTGATTAAAGCTTTAGGGCCAAATCAACAACAGCTGAGGATCCAGCCCATATGGCCTGAGATCTTTAGCTGTGTAAAGGCTGCAGGAATGGGCCCAAATAGCTTTGGTAATTAGCAAATACCATATAAAATAGATGAAAAGTCGTTGGCAGGGAATACATATCGAGTAACATTTGAAAATTATTCATAGCATATTAGTATACTTCTTTAGAGATAAAACTTGATGGCATAAAAATAATTTGGGAGGGACAACTGCAGGCTCTCACATGACTGTCGACAGGCAAACAATTTGTTGGACCGATCGGTACTTTACAGTTATCTTTAGTCAATGCAACAAAGGGCAGAGGTGATCATCTAACACCTGGGACCCGATCCTACAAGCTGTTCTGCCTCTGTAGAAGTGTCCTCTCAGCCGGTGGGGACTCCTTAGCCAAGCCGCCTCCCTGTGAGCAGAGAGCTACCATTCTTGGGTAGGTGCTGCAGGTCACCCTGTACTCCTCAGTGCCTCGGCCACCCAAGAGCACCCAGAACAACACCCAGGGTCGTCCACGGAAGCAGGACTGACCCTGCTGCTATCTACATTCACCAATTATCGCACCATGTACACCAGTAAACAATAACGTAGCGATTAATCACCCTGGTGTAGCCGTAAGAGTTACTTTCACAGATTATGGTAAGCAGTGTGCAGCGTGGAATAAATCATTTTTCACGCAAACTCTGAGGAATGGCATGTTATAAAAATCACTCCTGATAAAAATCTAATGAAAATGTAAAACATCTCAGTGCAGTCTCTCGGGTAGAGTCAAGATCCTATTAAACCCTCAAGAGACAACAGTCAAGGATTTCAATGAGAATCAAGAGACAGTTTTCCCAGGATGAGCTTGTTAACCTGATATAAAGACACGATATCGATTTGATGGCTTTGTCTCTTTTGCTGTTTCCATCATGAAGCTTATTTTTAATTTAATCATCTTCCATTAATTTATTTAAAGGCTTTATTCATCAAAACAAAACCTTTTTTTCCTCTTTTTTTCAAAAGCAGAGGTTGTTGAAGTGCTGAGAGTATAATCCAGAACACAGAGTGTCACAGGTCTGCGGCCATTGCATTTGCAAAAGATTTTTCAAGAGTAGTAACAAATAAAGTCACTCTCCCACTCTGTTTTAAAGTTCCCTGTGACTGGTTTTTAAAGATTTTGAAATCAGCCCTCTTACAAAGACATCATAATGTAGCAATCTCAGGACGTGTCAACGACAGTTACCATTTTAAAACGTTCATTAGGATTTACCTGCTGGTGGCTTTATGAAAGGTGGTGGAATTAATGGGACAATAATAGGTACATTCCCATGATCCTTCGACCCTGCTGGTGAGTCTGAAAGTCCATTTCCTGTGGCAAGCCCTGGGTAGCTTGGGTTTATATTGTACGGTGAAATAACACTGTCCTCAGGTAATTTTGGTTTTGGCAAAGAATTTTCTGTAAAACACAAAGAACACATTGTACAGTATGACAAATATATTTCTTAAATGCCTCTACATACTTTCACCAATCTATTCATTAAATTACTTACCCTAACACAAGAAGAGTGCACAAACCACACAGATATTTTCCCTTTTAAAAAATGGATACTTTCCAGTATTCTTCTGAAATGTTCCATTTTTTCAATCATACTCACACTAAACATAACTATACTTTTTAAAAAAAAAAACAAAGGTGGGATTATTTTGTCATACATAACCTTGGTACGCCTGATTTAATCAATGATAGCCTATTCCTGTCCTTCACTTCTACTGCTTGCATGGTGATCACTCTCAGTGTGCTGCGACTTCACCAATGCAAGAAGAATAAACTGAAAAATAAAAGAATTCCTAATTCTCTATCAATAATATGATGAGTAGTATTAACGGAAAGGATTTAAAGAAAGCAACAAAACATTGAAATCACAGCAAAGTGTGCATGAAATGATGACAGTTATTATTCTAATTCTTTAATCCCAAACCACCTCAGGATTCTTATTTGTAGGAATTTGTCTAAAGCACCTCAGTTAGCTGTGAGACAGGATTCCACTCTTATTATTCTCTCTCCTCCCATCTCTCAGAAAAAGAAACACACTTTCTTCCCCTCTCACAGACTACATGCACCAAAAATTTCTACCTGGCACAGGTATTCAACATCTTTGGTAGATAAAACATGATTTGTAATGTGTCTATAAATTTCATCAAGCATAGACTGGAGCCACAAAACATTCAAAAAAAGATCTATTTATTAAAACATAAATAAATGAACCGTATTACTACACAAGAACAAGTTTCTTCAAAGGTGGCTTAATAGTATTGCATTTTCAATGAAAAATAAATATTGATCACTAGTGTCACTACAGAACTAACAAGCTGCAAACATTCAATTTTAACACGATTAGATTGTTTCACCTTACCTCTAATCTTTCCGCCTTTTTTCTAGCCATCTCTCCATCAGAAGCGGTCTCTCTGGTATCAGTACTCAGTGCAACACTCACTGAATACAGTGCTGCTGCCAGCCATCAGCAAGAAAACCCAAACACTGCTGGCCACAAACACAGAAAAAAGTGGCAGTCCAAGAGCTGGCAGTAAAAGCTTCTGCAATTTCCTCTCTTTACCTCACCTTTGAGGAACTCTTGTTGGATAAGTCAAGATGCAGCGATTTCCTACTCCTCTCCTCACGCTGATCACAAGTCCCTACCTGTTTGCTGTGGCTGAGGAGTCAGAAGGCAGCAATCAAATGGCTCCACAAAATCCTTCACACTTTGAATTATCTCATACTACTGTACACAAGGACCCGGCACTGCCCCAAACAAATTCCACTCCTGGAGAACTTCTACAGCACTTGCAGAAGACAGTGTAATACAAACACCCCTGGTGAGCTTTTTGTGAACATTCACGTGGATTTCCACGTGTGTTGTGAATATTCCAGCTCAAAATCTTTTGGCATTTTAAAAAGCCACAGGCTAAAAAGCCTTAGTTTTGAAAGCAAAAGGGTTCCTTCGAGCCACACAGCTAAGAAAGCGTCCTCTCTTTTTTCCAGTTGTGAGCAGTTCATTGGTACCACAGGTACACAACGCTCAACCGACTCACAAAAGGTATTATTTGTGAAGATAGATGAGTAAGTGCCTACTAACAGCAATTTTGTGCAGTGATTTTCCTCGTACCCTACTGGCTTCCTCGTACCAGAAGACTTTCTCCAATATTTTCATTCAAACCAACCACGAAGCAAGCAGTAGAACATGCTTCCCAGTCCATGCCAATTCAGACAGGTTGAGATATTAATCCTTCTTTGTGTGAACACAGAAACATTAAGTCTCATTACCTTTGAGAACAGAAATGTGCTGGCGGCTTTCCCCGTCTGCCGAGTAGTTCCTGAATTCAATATCTTCTCCGTCTTTCAGTTCAACCTTATCATAACCATACCAGCCAAGGAGCTCATTCATAGTGTTTTCTGCAAAGTTCTGAAAGAGAAAAATTACCTACTTATTTATGTAATCAATAACCATTTGGAATGAAGGGAGGACTGCATAAATCGAACCGTATCTGCGCTACATGAGGAAGTGTCAGGTTTGGCCCACCTCCTCAAAGACTAATGTTCGTTTCATAAGTCAAGTGCATAAAGTGTAATGCATTTAAATCTCAGACTGGCACATGTAATTATGACAGAGACTCATACGTCTGTAATTCAAAGAAAACGAAAAAGAGAGTTATTTATGACTTTTGCTCTGGCATTCAATGTCAGAAATATTTTAACATACATTCGTCACACAAACTTGTCTGTGTTGCCATAAAATATTTAAGACTGCAGCAAGAGAAAAACAGAAAACTAGGATTTTTGCAACCAGCAGTTAATCAATCTTACTGCGCTACGGCCTTTTCAGCTGGAGCAGGTCACTGACACAATCACAGTTCCTTGAGGTGCCCACGAACCAAATCAAACAAAAGCTCAGCGAAGACCTCTTTACTTGGAGTTATAAGCCCTTGCATAGTCAAACCACTTAAAAACTCTTCACCACGAAAGCATTTTACCATAACATTTCAGATAAACATCCCTTACATTTGTTTAAGAAAACCTTTCTCAGTTTTGCCACATTTATTTTCAAACCGATTTCCAAGCACCTGTGTGGTTACATTTTATGTTTGTATGGAAATGCAAAACATGGAACATGACTGTCATAACTCTCAAATTCTATTAAAAACACATCTTCTAGGTCGTGTGGCAAAAATATTGAAAACGCTCATTACTGGGCCAGGAGATTTAGTGGAGCAAGTTAAGAAATCTGCAGCCAGGCAACAAAGCTTTCTGAAACCAAATAGCGCCATGGAGCTCTAGGGCTTACGGATTTAGGAAACTACCAAAGGAAACCAGTTAATGAATTATTGCAACGGCAAAGATCCGTTTAAAGTAGAATGACAACTATAAAACAAAACGAAAAAGCCACAAACAAAGCCTCTCAATTTGGTCTCCGCATTTTTTTGTTATCACTCTTTTAAAACAAATTCCAAACTTCATTTTCCTGTAAGATCTTGACATCTAAAATAATGATTCTGATAAGCACCATCTTCTGGGACTCTGGCTACCAGCACAGGAATAAGGAGAATATGACACCAATTTAAAACAAATGGTACCTGTCAAATTTGCAGGTTGCTAGATTTTCTCTAGTAACTGCTCTAGCTTAATTTTTGAGTGGGAGCAAGTCTAATGATAGAACACAGCAATTCTCCAGTCATTTCAGTAAATAATTGCTTCCAAATTCAAAGCTACAGCAGGCACTCTGCCCCAGAAGATCAGAGCACTGCCCTGCTCCTGCCTCACTCATCACATCAGACTGCATAGGTGCTCCTGCCGCTCAAGGAGCGCTGTAAAGCAGCTATAAACAATACACACAAACAATTTATACTCTCCCAGGAGTATCATCTGTGCAATTATGCTACAAATGTACATTTCAGGCAAAGAAAAACAAAAACAAAAACCCAGAGCAGACACCTGGAGCATCAATTTCCCTCTGTCTCTTCCCCCTTTATTTTCACTTGACCTCCTGCTGGAAGTCTCGATTCCGTGGCTGTCCTGCGCAGCTCCGAATTGCTGAAAAACATCACATCATTCCACCTCTACCTCTAGTGTCAGCGGTACAAGTATGACAGCCTGTTACATCTGAACTATGTCACTACTACAGTTTGCAACAACGAGTACACTCCAGTGTAATGTGGCTAATACACTCATTTCTAAAACACGTATTTACACTCTCATCTGAATGATGCAGTACTGTAAGTGTTTTAAATACTAGCGAAGATGGGACATTTTTCTCAAGATTTTTGTTTGGTTTTTAGCTTTTTAGATAAATTCTCTCACAGCGTGGAAAGTCTCAACGCACTAACCCAGTCTCTAACCCATGGGAACCTGACAATGAAATTACCTGGAGACAGGGAGTAAAACCTCGCCACTGCAGCTCACTCGGAATGACCGGAGGGTCCACAGAGGCCCAAAGGCAAGCTCTGCCAGCTTCCCTTGCTTTGCTAAGCTCCAACTACGGAGACGCAGCCCTAGAGACTCATCTAGCAAGGTAGAGACCAATCGACAAATTCCTGACTTAAAGCCCATGCAACCAAATTAATTGAGTAGCTCAAAATTTGCCTTCTGTGGATGCTTTGTGGTTTATTTGCACTGTTGATCAACTCAGGCAATGAATAATCTCTAATTACTCATCAAGGAATATGTAAACAAGGCTGTATGTTTCTTTTTTCCTGAAAATTCATACATGTATATGTCTCTTCAGAATCTAGTCAAAATGATGGTTGTGTTTGTAACAGCACAAAGTTTAAGTACCTTTCGAGCCTCATTTTACCATCTATGATGAGTGATGCACAAGAATGAACAGTTGTAGCGACAAAATAATACATTTGATTTTGAAATTACTCATAATAGAGACTTGACTCTTTTAAAAAAAAATATCACTGAGGTCTTTGCTATTAACTTCAATAAGAGTAGAATGAGGTCACATACTACTAGTAACAAAAGTATCTTTTTAACACCGTGATTTCTCAACAAGGACACTTGGATTAAAAAAACTATTAAGTCATTCTCCTTCATAATTTATCTTACCTATTACACTGATGGTGATCATTCTCAACACGATTCTCTCAGTGGCTAACAGCCAGGGCTTCATTACACAGCACATTCTACACAGCAAACCAAGAGGATGATCCCATCCTCAACAAGCCGACAGTCAGAACTGAGAAATGTTTCCTTCTACACTAACTCTCTTGCATAGATGAACATCCACAGAACTGAAACATCACCTTCCCTCAGACTTCCGACTACAGTACCCATTTGCAGCAATGTCTAACAACACCCTGTCAGTCGAGATGACGGTTGCATAGGTCATGTGCTGCTTGCTGAAGGTGCGGCCCTGGAGCTGACCACTGTTATTTCATTGTTTCCATGTATTCGTCCTTCCTTCCCTTTTAACGGTAGGCCCAGTCTATGCAGATTCACAACAGGTAACAAGACAGGATATATAAAGGCCAGTGTGGTTGCAATAGTCAAAATGCAACTGATGAGAGGAGAGGAGACAATTTTTCTCTATGTGAATGCAAGGGGGGGAAAAAAAAGCCCGGTTCCTGATGAAGTTAGGGAAAGGAAGCAAGCCAATTATTACATGACCTGCATATGCAGAGCAGAAGCTCACAGAAAGACGTACAAGCTTCAAAGGCTTAGCAAAAAGAAAGGTGATGATTGTAACCATGGTGCTTGAGGAAAGCAAGAACGCGGGACCTGATGTTGGAGCAGGAGAGCAGAAGAAGCAGTGATGAAGCAGGTTGGAGAGGAATCAGCTGAACTGAGAGACAGTGGGCCTGCCAAAGCCCAGGGAGAAGACAAGCACGGATGACCAGATGGAGGATGTGCAAGGAGCTGCAATTCCAAACTTTTGCAGGGCACCAAACTAGTCCATGCCTATTTTCAGACTCATTCCTCAAAAGGATGTGGAGGGTCTGCAGGATGGAGGCTGTCACCCCAACCACACACCTCTGCCACAGGGCTGGGATGACGTTAAAGACCAGCGCACCAGGAAAAACCTCGCCCATCATCAGCAAAATCCCAAACCAGCAATCACGCTGCTAAGCTGGGACCCTTGAGCCCAGAGTAAATCCCACCAAACCCAAAAGGGGTCCTGCAGGGGTCCGTGGATTCCATCGAGAAACCACAGCACTGAAGGCAACTTCCCCCCCTGGGGAGGCAACGCTCAGTCCTCTGCGGTGAAACCAGGAGTCCAAGCCCCGGTGCTGCTCACGGCGTGGGCCGGTGTCAGCGCTGAGAAGACACGCACAGATGTCCTGCCCTGTGTCCTTCTGCGCTCCCACCACCACGCTCGGCCTCGTGCACGCGCACCCAGGCTCCCCACGCCATGGCGGAAACGCCAATGACCTCAGCAGTCGCCAGCGCACCCAGTCAGCCGCTTAACATCCCACCGGAGCCAAATCTCCTGCACTCCTCCAGCTGACAGCACGGGCGTGCAGCTGCACACCGTCACAGATGCCAAACTGCCAGGGAATTCGCTACGGCTGCAGCGCAACCAGCTCATCCCTCCCAAAGACACCAAAAGGCGCCAGTGGCCCCAGACACACAGCATCGCCAAAGCCCTCCCTTCCTAATGGGCGGCAATTCTTTTTTTGCCCCCTGCTAAGCCCCAAGCCACTTATCATCACTGCGGGGCAATGTGTAATTTGCATGTTTTAACTGTATGATTTCTCTGTTCTTGTACTGTATCCTGGAATATCCAGGGAATATCCTCCCTCCTGGAACAGCCAGGATAACAGCTCGTTGGTATTTAGACTTGAATTTGCTTCCTATTCATGGGAAGGATGAAGAAGAGTGTGTTGACTCGCCAGACTGTGGTTTCCCTCCTTTGTGAGACTGACTTATACACTAGGCAGTAAAAATATAATCGCATTTATTCCCGCTTTAGGATTCATTTCATCGTAACAGTACACCTATAGCTTGATTTTTTACATTGCAATGCATCAATTTCCCAAATCTTCACTAATTAATACATTCTGAAGCTAAGCCACGCTTCTCTTTCCATCTTAGACCTCCTGCCTTTCCTTTTCTACAAACCTTATTCACAGGGGGCAAGGCCTGGCTTCACCAAACGAGGCCTGGCAAACACGGAGGCAGGAAACGCAGGGGAGAATGAGTCTGTCAGACTCATTTTCTTCTAGGTTTTACTGCTGAATGTTTATTTCAGATCTGGGAGGAAGCACAGTGGCTCTATTCCATTTCCTTGCCTGCATAACCCGCTCAGTGCAGAGCCTCACAAATTCACTTTTCACTTTCGCTGCACCGAGGAAATAAAAACATTTCTGTAGCTACAATACAAACTTGGAATTATTTTTTTTTTTTTACTGTCCCTCACTTTCTTTGCGCATTTATGTTGTCGCCATATTGAATTTTATGGTCAGACCTTTATGCGATCAGAAAGCAAAATTTCTTGATACTTCAATTTCCTTTGTCCTCTCAGGTACACGTTTGGTTCTGTAACATCCACGTGGTTTGAATAAGCGCTGTTTCTACGATGCACAGGTAGGTGAAGCTCCCTGTGCAGACAACGTAACTCTCTTTTGCAGCCACCCCACAAAACTCCTTCCATGCGCACTCTGAAAAAAAAAAAACTATCTCGGTCTCCTGAAATAGTACAATTGATAAAGTCTGTCTGCTTTTCCACTTTCCCAGAGGCATTTTTTGCTTTTCGGCAGAGAAGGGAGGAGTTTCCTTGGAATCTTCTGAGTGCTCCGAGCGATCTGGCTCGCTCCGGGCGCAGCACTGGTTTGCCTGCTTCACTGCTTTCCTCCTTCTGACAGTAGTACTTTTAAATGCCAAATAGGGAATATTAAAATACTAAACTGAAAGATCTTCTGATGAGTTTACTATTAAACTACAACAGATGGAGCTGTCTTAAGCTCTAGGCATCAGGAACGAAGCCCAAATTTAGATACAAATGAGTTATTGAGAATATTTATAGATGGTAAACTCCTTGGGCACATAGAGCAGCCCTGTGAAATTACTGCGTGAATTAATTGCTCGCCTTTCAACTGACAGACACATGCGGATACATTGTCTTGTTTGTTCAGGAGAACTTCTAGTGCAATCCAGTACTGGATGTAACTTCGTTTCACAACACTGCAGAGCACCTCTAGCAGCCCCTCCTGAGCGGCACTGCTGCCTGGCCGCGGGATGGCAATTGGAAATAAGCTGAGAAGGGATGGACAGGGGAGCCATCACCGTGCCTTGATCAGTGCTTTCATCAACTAAACTGTAAAAAATATTTTGGTCTTAAAATAGTAACGGGTTCCCTGATTACAATAGCTTTGGATCTGTTAGGTGTTCTGTTATTCAACAGCGAGTGAGAAACGGCACTGAACTGAATTTGCGAATAACTTTCTGCTCTTCTTCCAAAGCGCGAGGTCAACAATGCTACCTTTGGAAGAAAAAATGGCAAGTATCATCTGAAGGAGGAAGGAGGACAAAAGAAAGAAAGAAAAAAAAACTAGAAAAAAGGAAAGAGAGGCTGTGAAGGTCACAGCAAAACAAAACAGTTCCTCCTGAATATATTTTTCATTGAAATGTAATATCAGAAAAATGCACAGAGTCATGTACTTTTTGGACACAACATTGTATCAAATTGATATTTGTTATAACCATCATGCACATTAGGTTAGCGATTACAAAAATGTAACTTAATACCTGGCATAAAGGAAAGAACAAGCAACTTGAATATCCATCCATTCACATTAAAACCAAAGCTGTGACACCACTGTTGGAAGACATCAAACCAAGCAGTTAGGTGTTGTGATCCTTCTCGAGTAAATATCTGACCATATCAAAGACCAAATATTGAAGGAAGTCTCCGTGATGAGGTAATTTTATTGCTCATTCATAGTGCCCTGCATTTGCTGTACTTAAAACAGACAGTTGTACCACTGGCCTTTTTATTACTCGAAGGGAAAAAAAAAAAACCAACAACCATCACATATACACCAGTCCTTTTTCTTTCTGCTAGCAAAGGGAGGCAATTCGATCCAACGTGGGCTGAAACCTGAGTAGGTCACTGTACACCATGATAAAATTCCCTAATCCCTGAGCCAAATTTCCCTGAGGGGGCCCTCCTACTTCTCCTTCACTTTCCAAGCTGACTTTTCCATTCCCTCTCTCGTCTTTTCCTCCCCTTCATCTCTTTCATTTCCCCTACCTTAAAGCCTTGATATCTGATCCGCTGCTGATACTCGGGTTACAGTTTTTACAGCTTAGGCTGTCTATTGCTGTATACATTCCTTTCTTTCTGCTCTGCCGTGATTACTTACCAGAGCTTATTTTACACTGGTCCAGATGAAAGCAGTTCAGATGAAGGGAAACAGTCAGCCTGTTTGAACATTACAGATAGGAACCTACACAAGGGCACATTGTGTTCCCTCTGTCATTTCGCTGCAAACATTTTGCAGAGTGTAACCAATTTGTTACATTATTGTATTTCTCAGGTTTATGCAGAACAACCAGACATCTTAATTCATCAGTAAAGAAACAGTAAATGATCGCCACAGGATTTTCACTTTCTCAACAAGTCAAAATTTAAAACCACTTCTTTTTTTTTTCTCCCCCCTCTCTTTCCCCTTCTCGACGACAGCAGCCAACTGTCCCACCGAAATGCAGCCTCCCGGCATAGCATATACCACATAGTTTACATTGAAAGGTGGCCTGTGTTTTGTGAAAGGGTCTGCCATCAGCTATCTCCCTCTTGACCAGAAATCACATTGGATCAAAATGCCGTTTCTGCTTGTCTTTAATTTTTAAGTCAACTGAAATCTTGAGGTTTCTAACCTTAAGCAGCTACCAATGGTTAAAAAAGAGAAACTCTCTACATGAAGGTTAATGCCAGTGCTTAATACCAAAGCATTAGTTTAAAATTGTGTAATTTTTCTCCTTCACACAATGTTGTTTTTGTTTCTTCCTCACCCTTTCAGACAAACATCTGTTATACTGTAGAAGAACAACTATCTCCCAAACCGCTGAGTGTGCCTGCAGCCAAAGTAAACAAAACAAACCCAGAGGATCCAGCACAGTCAGCCTTTATATCCAGCCAGGATAACATTTCACATGTTTTGATTAAAATTAGCTAATTTGTAATTCTAGAACCTATGAAACTTAAAAGCTGCAATCCATATAGATCACATCAGGCGATGCTCTAAGGGGCCAATGCCCTACACTACAGACCTCCGCAGTCCTCCAAACTATGTAGGATTACAATGAGCAATGACTCTCATTCTCCAGTGCCTGCACAGAGCCCTCTCCGAAAATAGGATGTGCCATATATCTCACAAAGAATAATACCACTCCTCGGGACTTGAAACTAGTACGGTTTGTTGCCAAAGAGATGCACCGACACGTTATTTTGCTCGCTCCCCTAATACCACTCTTGTCCAGCTCTCCAGTTGATGTGCACACAGAACTGTGTACACACGCGTTACGCGGCAGCAGGAGAAAGAACGCCCGCCTTAGGCAGGAAAGAGCACCTAACCAAAATTAGTGGTGTGCAAAAGAGGGGAGAGAGGAGGGGGGACTGTGCATTCCCGTTTAATTTTACATGGGGACATCAATGCTCCAGAAAGCAAAGACATTTTCACCAGGCACCATGCATATTTATATACTTGCCTATATAGTATACACACTGTACGAATGTGTGACATTTTCCAGGCAGTCCTCCACTTACTATCAGCCTTCTAATAAATGACATATTCAAATTAAACGTCAGCAGCTTTATCTCAGAACCAGACCATGCTGTTTTAGTCACTTTATCTGGGCATTAAACAACAACAACAACAAGTTCAGCTGAAGTCTCCCAATATGTTGTTCCTAACTTTGGGGAATCAGAGATGTGAAACAAACAGATGTGGAACAGACGTGGAAAATAGGCGTAAAAAATAAGACCAGTCAAGCCTGGAGCAGCAAGCTAATGATAAAAGAAGTCTCAAAAGAATGTTTTAGTGCGATCGAAGCCATCCTAACATCTGGAGTGGCTGCCTCAAGTGCTACCTCTGGAGCACAGCTGGACTGGCACTGCTTCCTATCAAGGCAGGACAGCCCTTCGCACGATATAATAACACTTCCATCAAAAGCAGCCCTCGGACAGCCACCTTTCAGCAACACCTCCGCCGCTGCGATGAACCGCGAAGCGGAGCACGGAAAGCAGAAGAGGAGGCGAGAGGGAGAAGGAGAGAAAAGGGGTCCCCGCGCTTAAGTGCGAGAACGATGCGCGGCGCAGAGCATAACATTTCACTTTGACAATTTAATTACACAGTCGCAGCTGGCTATTGAAAAAGGAGAGAAATACTGTGTATAAAAGAGGTCCCTTTCTT